TAACACGATAATGCCATAATATGACATACATAGTTGAGGTTTTATGAATACATATTGGATGCTACTTGGATGCTTCATGAAATTAAAATCATGCTGTCCTTTTTTAAGATGTTCTAGTGCTGAAACACTGTAAATTTGGTATTATTATTTGGTAGGTGGTTGCTAGACGACATGATGATCTCATAGTACTTACATAATATCATAAATGCGTATCTTTTATGTTACACTATCTGTACTTTGTGATTAGCCTTGGCTTGTGCAAGTCAAGCTGAGGAAACATTCTTTCTTCAGAGTTATCTTTGTATTTTGGATGGTCCTGACTTGTATGTATAAACTGTATGTTTCAATGTCTGCAGGGGCCAGCATAACTAATTCTGCCCAGGCGATGTGTACCCTCATCACAAGAAGCAAAGTTGATGAAAGGTAATTTGCCTAACGTGAAAATATTGAAACTATAACATCCCTAGCTGTTTAAAAAGCTAGTGGAAGAAACAATGTAATCATTAAAAAAGAAAAATAAATGATTTTTTCAGCAGACCATCACTTTTCTGCTCCAGACAGAAATTCTTGATCAAGACTTAAATTTATCTGATGTTTTTGTGAGCATTTGTTAAAGTCTTGTCATTATTCAATCATTGTTACACTGTGTGTCAGCAGCTGAATCTTCTCACAGAGAGAAAGACAAACTTTACCGGCTTCTTTTTTAACACAAGGTCATGATCTGTGTGGTCATGAGGACAATAACCACACCAGAAACCCAGATACAAAAATGTATGTAGCTGAGCACCCTCAGTTCAACATGTAGGTTGTTTGAAGGCTGTGAAGTATCATAATGACTGTGCACATAAGATATATTTTTAACTAGTGGTCACATGCTCAGCCACTTGACAGCTTAAGTAGTGTGTCTGCAAGTGAAATAAAAAAAGACTAGAAGTTTTTAAATTTGGTACATTATTTTATTCATAATTGCATTTCATAAATGAACAATAGTATTAGAGTAAATAATGTAGAAGAGCAACAATGTATAAATCATTTGTTGTTTCAAATATAATTTCCAGAATGCTTCAGTATTTTGAAATTTAATTTGTACTCAAAACAGAATCAACCGTAGCAGGCTGACCGGAAACAGTTCATGAAGGTACCAACTCAGTTTTAACAGAAGAGGATTTGAAACACTTCTTTTGTACAACCCAAAGCCACAAATGAAGGATATATTAGTCTCTAATGTTCTTTTTTGAATTTTAATGTTATTGAAGCTATGGATGTATGGAAAAAAACTGTCAAAAGAGTTGCATTTAGAGAGAAGACAATGGACATTTCTGTGTTTATTAGCAGAATTTTGATGTTTTAGATTGTGCTTTTCTATAAACAGTGATTGTGTTGATTTATAATTGATGAAAAGGTGTCAGTTTGCATGAAATAAAACTGACCCCAAGACCATGTTCCATCATCGTCTTTATTCTTCACATGAAAGAGGAAACTTCACCCACCTCACATCATCACTTCTAATTTAAAAGGTAGCAGTGTGTTAAAATTAAGCATGAAAGAGAGAGACAGTTCTATTTACTCTGCCTCATTACAGGTATGAGAGTGCTGTTGCAAATTTTTAAAAATATACTCACCGTGGCCTTTGCAGCAACACAATATGACAAATGTAGCTTAAGACATAAAGCTAAAATGTCATAAGCCATCAACACAATGTTCATTTATTGGAAAAATGGTGATAATATTGTCAACACAAGACTTGTCTTATATGAAATAGTGAAGATTGGGTAAAGTAATTCTAAAATACATGTTTGCAACATGACTTTCATTTCAAAAATTCTTGAAAGGGTGTTGTCGAACAGCTAACAGATCATCTTCAAAGGCTTATTTGAAGAGTTTCAGTCAGGTTTCAGAGCTCATCACAGCATAGAAACAGCTTTAGTGAAGGTTAGAAATGAGGCAGTATCATCAGAAGGCATGGCATACATTTTCAGTGCTATGCAGATGAC